AAAACTACTACAAATCGTTGAAGAAAAAAGAGCAAAATTCAGCTGGAATCAAAATGGATCGGTTTGTGGATGCAATTTGAGAGGTTTCCCCTCTTTTTTTGGAGATGAGAGGATGAATGCCCTTCTAGTGGTCCTTTTTCTGACTGAGAATTCTTTTTTTAGCCAGAAACTTTCATTTTTGGACGTAAAGTAGTGTTACGTGGTGTGGAAGAATATTCGTTTTTTTGGGTAAAATAGTATTTGCTTTACTTTCAAATAGTATTTGCATTGATTGTAAGTAGCTGGATTACAATATTAGCCGTTGGATTGAGTTCACTAGCTAGTAAAGAGTCATTGGGTTGTTAAAATTTCACATTTTTACTTCAAAGCTTTCTTTAACAGCTTAACAATCGGGTTTCCGGTTTTGTAGAAACTTTTTATGATTTCTAATTTATTTTATGAATTAATTAGATTATAAAGCTGATTATTTAGATAATGGGAACTGGAGAAATCATTTTTTTTTGCAAAGCCTTTAGGTTTTTGATTTACAAAAAAAGTTGAAAGCAATGACTAGCTAGAAGTAAAAATGTAACTGGATTACACTATTAGCCGTATACTTCTGATTATTCTATTTCTAAAGCTAAAACATATCTTGAAAGTATTCAAACTAGCGCAGTGTCAAGATTTAGTCTCTCAACAGTTTTATTAACTTTTTAAAGCTATGATTAAAGCTTTAAGCTTCTGATCATTCTATTTCTAAAGCTAAAACACATCTTGAAAGTATTCAAACTAACGAAGTGTCAAGATAATACACAAAACTACAGTAGCCTCACCGAAAGCTTTTGTCTGAGTTCCACCACTCACTCAGACAACACGTGACGTTCACATTTGCCCTTCATTCAATTCTCTGTCTTTTTTTTCAATTGTCAAATGTTTTTTGGTTCTTTTCTCCTCACTGTGACTCACTTTTCTCTATTCTCAACTACTTTAAGAGGACTTTTTTTTGAGGGAATTCTTGGTGTCTCTCCTCAATTCACAATTCAATGAAAACTATTTTATAGCCGACAAAAACAAACAATGGAAAAGAGTTGGTCTAGTTAAAAATGAAATGGAAAAAAGAAAGAGTTAAAAAGAGCCACAGAAAACAGCTAAATGTATCAGCAATAGTTTGGACAAAAATCTGAAATCTGACAAGAAATCTTTGTCCGGAAACCACGTTGACCTTAGACTCCAGTTTCAAAGTGTTTACAAAAAAAAGTGTATCCAGATGAAAAAGATGGATCTTTCTAGAAAGAGAGTGACCATTCTCATCAAAAAAAAGCTCTCTTTTCCCCAATCTTCCAATGAGGATCTCGGGTTTCCAAACAAATCACCCCCATTTCTCTCTTCAATAGATGAACACTCCACGGGAAAATCACTAGCGCACATTTGGTTTAGCTCATCCAAATGATTTGTAGGAAATTGCAACAATGTTAGAGGATTTTGTTTTGGTAAAGTTTGGAAATGGTACTGAAATAGAACTTTTAGAACTTACAACTTGTTTAGCTTTAGTTTTTTGATGCAAAAAGAGCAAAGTTCAGAATTCTTGCATGTAAATTTCAATCAAATACGTTCTTTGACCTCATTTTTTGATCCGTTTGATTAAACATTCAAATAACCTGTACTGGGATCATTAACTCGATAACTCGATGTCAAAGTAGTAGCTAGATCAAAGTTAGCACAGAATTTTCAAGAACAAGATAATAAAACTGTTAGCCAATCAAGTTAGCTGGATTTGATGTAGAAAAAGGACTACAGGTAAAGGAAACTAAAGTAAACTAAATTAAGTAACTAACTAAGTAAAATAAACTGATATTAGATGGACAACGTCAAGATAGTAAAACGAGTTCAAGATTTAAGTGAAAAAGATATTGAAAAGGTGATCAGCTTGATTAAACATCCAAATAACCTGTACTGGGATCCTTAACTCGATGACTGAAGCACTAAATGAGTTCTAATGATTGGCTGATTCAACGAGTATCGATCTGATTTTAAATCCAAGAAAATTGAAATGTTTAGTTGAACAAATAAATTCTAAGGCCTAAATCCTAAAAATGAGGTTTGGAAATGGTACTGAAATAGGATCAGCCAATCATTAGAACTCATTTAGTGCTTCAGTCATCGAGTTAAGGAACCCAGTACAGGTTATTTGGATGTTTACTTTACTTTACATTACTTTTAAGCATTGCAACTTGTTTAGCATTAGTTTTTTTTGATGCAAAAGAGAGCAAAATTCAGAACACTTGCATGTAAATTTCGATGAAATACGCTCTTTGACCTTATTTTTTCTACTCTCAAAGAATGTTATGTAAATGAAAGTCGAAAGAAAGGATTACAACAAAGAAGTTGGATGTGAGCCAGATCGAGAAGAGAAGATTACGTTAAAGAAAAGGGGAAATCGATGGATCTATGGATAAGTATAGGATTGACACCATTCAATCTTCAAATTGCATTGTGCTTTGATTTAAGAGAAACAAAGATTGGGTAGAAGTTGAGATTCAACATTGAATGGATTGAAGCTTTAACATTAGATCAGAATTTCAAATAAAGTGCAAAGATGCAATCGTTGTGAAAACTCCCATAAAACTGTCAAGAAAAGATGGACTTTTTCTTCAAAAAGTGCATTCCATTTGGCCCAAAGCTGTCACCTTTGACCTCAAAGAATTTAAGAGTTTTCCGTAGCATAAGTTGGCTCAATCTCTCACCTCTGACTCATCGCCTCAAAGTGATTAGTGGGATTCGATCAAGACTTGCAACAGTTGGCTTCACTCCAAGTTCTCTTAAAAAGCATTGAGCTCTGTCTGGCTGTTGACCAATCGCTTTCTTTTTCACCTTTAGTCTTAAAGACTTTTCCCAGTAATGATTGCTAGAGTCGAAAAGGGACCACTGGTAAATGGAGTGGACTTTTGAGGGAAAAGGGGGAAAAAAAGTGATGGCGCGCTGTGATGGCCGAATCACGAATCTCTTTCTTTTTTGTTTAGATGATGAAAAGAGATTTATGAGGTTTATTAGCTAAAGAAAACAAGAAATTAATGATAAAATAACAATATTTATCTTGACAAAAACTTTATAATTATTTGAAATCAAGGAAAACAAAAGACTCAAAGCAAATTTTAAGTCACTTTCTAAAAAACAAGTGCTTAACTTTAAGCACAGGCCTCACCCACCCTGAACTACGTTCCCGGCGGTGGTGCTCGCTCGCACCACCGCTGTAGCCTGCGGCGCTAGAAAGAACGTCTAAAAATGCTTTAAACAATTTAAACATTTGCATAAAAAGATAAAATAACAATATTTATCTTGACAAAAACTTTATAATCATTTGAAATCAAGGAAAAAAAAGACTCAAGCAAGTTTTAAGTCACTTTCCAAAACAAGTGCTTAACTTTAAGCTCTATAAATACTATAAAAGTTTTATTTCATTTTAAATATCGTGTTCATAATTAAAGACTACTAAAAGATCTAATAAAATAATAAATTTTAATCAAAAAAAATGATCAATTCAATCGATCTTTTATACTTTTAGACTATATAAAAATATAGAAAAATAAAAAAAAATCGATTACGAAAAATGATATGATTAAAATTGCGGTATTTTCAACTATTCAAATATCGGATGATTTCATTTCAATCTTTTATCTTTAAAGACCCGAAAAAAAATGCTCAAATCGGGGGTGGGACAAATGCGACCTTTTTTTGCGCACCTGGACATTTGCGCACCTTTTTTTTGCTGAAAAAGGCCTTAGGCAAGGCCGTAGAGCTTCGAAAATATTTCCATATAAGGGAATCGTGTGCATAGATTCCGAATTTCGACAAATCAGACCTCGCTGACACGTCAAATTTGGGCTAAAAGGCAAAAACTACGCAACTTAACGCTTTTCCGCAGTTTTTGCCTTTTAGCCCAAATTTGACGTGTCAGTGAGGTCTGATTTGTCGAAATTCGGAATCTACGCATACGATTCCGTTCTATGAAAACGTTTTTGAAGCTCTACGACTTTTCCTAAGGCCTTTTCCAGCAAAAAAAGGTGCGCAAATGTCCAGGTGCGCAAAAAAAAGGTCGCATTTGTCCCACCGCCCTCAAATCGATTCCGTGACCATGAAAACCTCCGGGTACAAATTTACCGCTGAATATCTTCTTTTGCCATCCAAAAAGCAAAAAGAAAATCCCGATGTAAGGTGGTAAGGTGCTGTTTGTGCGGTCGTGTAATCGTTCGCGATCTGGCAAACACGTTTGATATAAGGGGCCTACCTTTTTGAATCCTTAAAGGAGAAGCAGCCTCACTCTTTTGGGCCTCACTATACGCAAATCCCTGGTGAAAAACTCTGCCCCATTTTGTTGTATTTTTCAAGTCCAGCCGGAACCGACGGTTCAAAAATTTCCCGTCTCTCGATAAAAGAGACTAAAAAAATTGGCCTAGAATCAAAGAAAAGTGATTAGATTTGAATCAAGCTGATCAAAATAAAAAAAAATTAATTAAGCTGGTCTTGCTCGAAATTACTCAAGCTCAGCGAATTACAAATTACTCAAGCTTTGAAAACATTGAAATTGTGAACTGCTGAGTATTTTCCTTTCTCGTAAACATCCAGCAGATCTAGCTATTTAATTTTCAAATTCCTAGACTAAAACCTTTATTATGAGAGCCGAAAATCGCGAGTACTTTCATCATCTCTAAACCAATAAAACTCTTTTAGTAATTCTTTTCCTTTTCCACCCAAAAATTCATCTAAAATTCGTAATATTCATGTGCTTAATTGAAAAAAAAGATTCATTCGTAGACAGGGAAAACAAATTCTAGTTCTTGAAAAGGGAAATTTGATAAAATTACTGAAAATACTACAGTTCTGCACAATTTTTACTTTAATTTTGTCTAATATAAATCATTGATTCATTATCAAATTGTGGCAAACAGCGCCCTCAAAAAAAGGAGGAACGGGGAAGAGAAATCGATTGGGGAAAACGAGTCATAAATAGCTTGGGTCAACAAATGGGAAACGCAACCATTTCCCAAATTCTTTTAATATTTCTTTTTACTCAAATTTCGGCTGACAATCCGTTTCCGGCGAATATCACCGATTTCAAAGCGCTGAATGCTTATTTTGAGAAATTTTTCTCAAGTTTGTTTCTTAAAATTAAACTTTAACATTGCTAATAAGTTTAAAATTACTTAGTTTTCAGGTTTTTGTATTGATTTTCGAAATATAAAACTTTGAAATTTAAGGAAAAGATACGGAAACGGTTGAAACATGGACGAAAAAGTTGCCGACTAAAGCCGAGATTCAAGAAGCTCACCAAGTACGCATTTAAAGCAATTAAAATTGTAAAATATTGTAAAATATTGTAAAATATTGTAAAATATTGTAAAATAACAAAATGAAATCAATGTAAAAGAGAATTGGGATATTTCTAGTTAGTGCCATTGCTTTACGGGATCACCAAAATCGAAGACTGTTCCTCATCCCTGTTAGCTTCTTTTAAAGAGCTCCAAAAATCGCTTCAGATCTCGCCATTCTTGGTAAGTTTTCTACATTTCTTTATAGCATTGTTTTTAAGGTTGAAATCTATATTATCTAAAAGCGATTCAGAATCGTTATTGTGTCTTACATGAAAAATTCCCAACCACGTCGCCGATGCGCTTTGCAAGAGCTTTTGGGTGAGTGATTGTCAGCTAGAAGGCAAAACTAAAAGTTGAACATAAGTAATTCTTACAGAAGTATTACTAAAGTAAGTATTACTATGGCCTTCCAGTTATATGGCTGTGGCGATGCCCGATTTCGTTCAGCGACAAATCCATCACTCGGCCGCTCATTTTCAGTCGGATGATGAAGTGGGCTAAGAAAATTGAGCTCAATTCAATTCACATACAAATTTAAAAAGCAAACAATTGCATTCAAGTGATTGTTTACTTGTAAATAACGTCTTTCTTTAGGTCGATCAACAAGCTGCTTACCTCTTTGAGAACACCGACAGTCGATCACTGATCGTTGCCGGTGCGAGTCGCTTCTGCATACAGGGGTCGGTTTAAAAAGTTTCTTTAAATCATTCCTATATTTTATTCTTTTATATAGTTTTAAAGGATGAATGAATTTCATAAAATTTATGCAATTCTCCTTCTAGAACCTCACCATCAGAGAGAAATGGTTCCGCTTTCCCTGCTGGCACCAATTCGACGTGTCAACCGGGGAACACAGTAAGCGATGCAGCTCATAACACAAATCTCCTCTTTCATCACTACAATATGGCTATTCGAGGTGATACTGTTAGTTTCATAATACAGAATTGTTTTAGATGCAACTTTGACAAGAAAAGAGAGTCCAATATTCATTCAATGGCACGGAATGGCAGCGGAGAGGTTTTCTTAAATTACAGTAATCTTTAAAGAGATCTTACAGTAAAGAGAAAAAGAGAAAGAGAGAAATAGCTTGCCTCGAATCAGTTTCGGCAATTTCAAGCTCTAAACTCTTTCAGTTGCACGAAAACCGATGCTTTTGTGAGCGCGGGAGCTTACTCTGGAGCTCCTGTCTACAACGATATCGGCACAAATCCGAATCGGGTATAAATTTTTTGATTTCATAATGAAAGAGCTTAAGATCGTTACCGCAGTTCGTCTAATAACAAATGTTTTTATTGCCGGCACTCCGAAAACCGATCCTGATTGCAATTTGATTGCAGAAACAAATGTTTTCGGGAGGTAATCAGGAATTATAACTGATAACTATAACTTTTTTTGGTAAGATATTGGGTTTGGTGAATTGAAAACTGCGGGCTATTATCATATGTGACAGTTTGAGCACTTTCTTCAAAAGAAACCCATTTTGGTGTCAATGGAAAAGTTGTAGAGAATCAAAAATCAAGCTTATATCCAAATTTTCAGAACGATTCAAAAACTGGTTTTCAAGAAATGCCAAATTTACGAATTTTCACAAAACTTGCATTTTAAGCGAAACTACTAAGTGTATCTTTTTGGAAATTTGGCTATAAGCCTAATTTTTAATTCTCTACAACTTTTCTATTGACACCAAAAAGGGTTTCTTTTGAAGAAAGTGCTCAAACTGGAACATCTCCAGCCCTCCATTTTTGAGTCTCACACTTGTCTCACACAAAAACCAAAATCCTACTACGAAAGAGGAATCCGCAAATTGCCTGTAAAATGGGCAAAAGTCGTCAGTAATAATATAATATTTCTCTATAATCTATCTATCTTTTCTTACATTTCTTACAATAAATAGCCTTGTTTGGGAACTTTTGGCGCATTCCCCTTTTGATTACTCTTTATTCCGGATCATGATCAGAGGTGAATGAATCCCTAAAGAAGAATAGGCCCTTCAAGTCAAAGACCGTTCTCATCCACGACAACGCGCGTCCTCATGTTGCAAAACTGACTCGCTCTAAAATAAATAGCCTTGTCTGGGAACTTTTGGCGCATTCCCCACACAGTCCGGACCTCACCCCTTTTGATTACTATTTATTCCGAATCATGAGTAATGAGCTTGCGGGAGAACACTTCGATTCGGGAGAAGCAGTCAAAAATTGGCTTTGAAAGTTTTTCGATTCAAAACCAAAATCCTACTACGAAAGAGGAGTCCGCAAATTGACTGTAAAATGGGCAGAAGTCGTCAATAATAATGGAAATTATTTGGAATGAATTCATGGTTTTATGTTGAATAAATTTTAGTTCAAAGTCCGACAGTTTTCAATTCACCAACCCAATAGATATATTTACGTTTTAGATATATTTATGGAGTTCCATTTGAAAGCCTCTGTCAAAATGTTTCTCCTTACGATAAACGAGATGGTACTTTTATTCATATTGAACAACATATCAACTCGCGAAATGATCTAGCCGATTGGGCAAGGGTGAGCCTGTTTTATTCTAATAAAATCAGTTCAGAGTATTTCTTTAGCTTGATCGATTGATTTGCAGCTTATTTAGATAAATTTCTTTGAAAATTATGAAATATACGATAGTTTTTAGATTCTCCCAGTGGCTTTTGGCAATCAAAACACACTGGCTCGCAATCTAGATACCAACGATCTGTGAGCTTTGTTTAACAAATGGTTTATCAAATGGTTTCTCAATTTTTAAATAGTTTATAAAACTTTATTATACTGTAAAAACAAAGAATGCACGCAAACCAATCGCATAAATACGGGATTTGTCTTGGGAAAGTTGTTGTTGTTGCTGTTGTTGTTGTTGAGTGTAAATGATTTCTGGGCGGATTTCTGTATATTGATTTCTTCCATTAAGCTTTTCTATTAGTTTCTTTTTTAAAATTTTCTTTTTCCTCTACATTTCTACTTTTCACAAGTTGAGGGAAAGCGTTTAAAAATTGAATAAATTTGGCGAAATTGATGATGTCGAGGTGTTGAGCGGTGTGTCCAATGAGGATCGGTGATGGGTGTTGGGTTGGCAATTCACCCTTACAAGCTCAAGCAAGGGCAACAACTCGACGACGACAACAAACGAGTTCGACTCGAAAGATGTCGAGAGCTTCTCAAGCGGGCCGCAACTCCACACTGGGAGCGAATCCTGTTTTCTGACGAGAAGCACTTCTCGGTGGAACAAAGCTACAACCACCAAAACGATCGGATTTGGTCAACGTCCTCTCCAGGCAGCTCAAAATCCCAAAACGGTCATGGTATGAGCCGGAATCTGCGCAACCGACAAAACTCCTCTCATTTTCATCAATTCTGGGGTAAAAATCAATAAGGATGTGTACCAAAAAAAGCTTCTTGAGGATGTTTTGCTTCCATGGGCTCAACAGCATTTTGGTAACGGATTTTGGACCTTCCAACAAGACTCCGCTACTTCTAATCGAGCCAAATCCACACAGGATGCCCAGGAATGGCCTCCGTATTCGTGCGATCTCAATCCGTTGGACTACAGTGTTTGGCCAATTTTGGAGGCAAGGGCTTGTGCAAAACCCCACAAAAGTTGGGAGGCTCTTAAGCGATCGTTGACCAGGAAATGGGATCGAATCACTCCGGCCGAGCTGCGTCCCATCGCCGAAAACTTCATCAAGCCTTTGAGGCTCTGCGTCGGAGCCAAAGATGGCCCCTTTGAAGAAAAGTAGATTTTATGCTCTCTTTATATCATGTTGTTAATAAAAAATTGTTTCTGTTACAAAATCTTTTTGGATTTTTAAAAAAATAGGCTAAATTAGGCCGCAACGTTATTTCTGGTCACCCTGTATGAAAGCCAGAAACGTACAATTTCTATCTTCACAAGGCAAACTATCAAGTTTAAAGCAAACAGCACTTGGAGTCTCAAATAAAGTGAATGGAAGTAAAGGGGCATCAAGCTAGCCACAACAAACTTGGAGTCTCAAATAAAGTGAATGGAAGTAAAGGGGCATCATGATAGCCACAACAAGCATCGCCCATTTGTGAATGAACAGCGGAAATTATTTGGATCAAAGAATCTCGTGAATGAATCGAGTTGTGCCAAATTTGTCTATTAGGATTTTTACGATTACTCTCGGATCAACACTTATCTTAAATTGTTTTTTTGACCTGCTACGAATTTTGAAAGTCCCAAAGAAAAGTGCTTAGCAACAGTCATGGTAAAAGTGCTTAAACATTTGAAACTTTGAAAGTCCAGAATTACACCCGCGGGAGGATATGGCCCGCCTCCGCACGCGGGAATTTGTGTTGAGACAAAGTGTTGCGGGCAACTGGGGAGAGTCGAACCAGATAGTGTTCACTTCCCATGCTAACCCACTACCACTCGGCCACTGGCGCTTTTGAAAAGCCTTTGGGAAACTAATTTATCATAATTTTATCTTGAGTTCGAGAATGCCTTGTAAAACTTAAAACTCGTATAATTTTCGATAGGGTATTGGATAGCAAAAACGGTAAGCAGATTCGGAATCAGCGTGAAATTCTGCGTCGAATGGCACATGGCATTTGAACATCTTGCTCACTTGGCTTTCCCTTGAAGGTAGTCTAACTTTTTGAGATTCATTTCTAGCAAGAGACCGCTGTCTGGTTCGTGGGGTCTACGATGGGAAGAATGTGAGCTGGCTTGATGGGTCTTCAGATGTGTATCAAAATTTCGATGCAGGTTAGTTTAGTTTTAGCCTCATCACTCGAAAAGCCTTCAGGAACACTCCCCGGTAACATGCTAATGAATTTGACAAACGGCAAGTGGTCGACGGCCAGCTGGAACGGGAAGTTGCCGATAGTTTGTGTTAGCAGGGATCAGGTACTTTTCGATTTTGAACTTTCTTGAACTTTCTTGACTAAAGTATCTTGACTTGAAGCTGATTTGAAGTTTCTTGTTAAATTTAGACTGTAACCGAGCCGCCAGTCCTCGAATCTCCATGTCCCACCGAGTGGTTCTACGTAGCACAATTGCAAAATTGTTATAAAGTGGGAAAAGGACTTGTTCTTTAATCAAAATTTCATAGCCAATTTACAATGTCGATTTCACAAACGCAATTGCGACTTGTCGATCGATGGACGCGGCTCTGGTGTCGATTCATTCAGAGGAGGAGAATCGAATTGTAGATGGTGGGTTTTGGAAAAACTACCCTTTTACTAAAGTTTGCAAAAAGTGTCTTACAATGTCAGGGCCAAGATTAGCATCGTTCATGATTTGCAAACAACTTACAAAACTTTAGTCGGAGTCGGCCAGAAGCCAAGTCACTTCCTATCTTTTACTAGCTTTAGCCTTTGAGGATCGGTTAGAAACGTTCTTCGTAGCTGCTTTCAATTAAACAAAACAAAAATATTTTCATTAGAAAGCTAACTGTGTGCAGACAAATCCCTAAGTGATGCTTTTCTTTTTTCAGATCTGACAAAGTGCGGCCGACCGATGGACAGCTTTTATTGGTGCTGATTGGTGCATTTGGTTTTATTGGTGCATTTGGTGCTGATTGGCGGAGTTTGGTTGGGCCCTAGCAAGTCTGAGTATGGCTGGTCGGATGGATCGCCGTGGAACTACTCGAAATGGGAGCTGAATGGACAGCCGCTTGGCCGTCCATGCTCTATGGTGATTTTTGAAGTTGAAATGTGGCCTTGTGAATCAATTGTGAATCAATGTGAATTTGGAGGAAACTGTCAGATTGATTTTGAATAAAGGGTTGCCAAGTCGAAACGAGGAAATGATACTCACAGTCACTCACTTGATTTTTCATCCAAATCTAGAAACGGCCCAGCAAACGTTTGATGAACTTTTTGCTTTTTTGCAAGACAAGAACTTCAGCTGTACGTTGATTGAAGATGAAAATGAAGAAACACAGCTGTTAAATGTTTTTGACAAAAGAGAGGAGAATCTTTTTGGGAAGAGGATCGATTTGAATGGATCTTTAGATTCACTTGGAGCTTTTGTAAGGAAAAGATTTTTTCGGCGAAGAATTTCCCCAGAAATGAACTGTGTTTACATGGTGGCCATCCAAGAGTACCACAAGTTTAATCGACTTTATTTTGTGTTTGGGGCAAAAATGGAGAGAATCTTTCCCCCTTCGAGTCAATAGTTTTGTGATAAACTGTTATTTTGTCTATTCAAATGTTCCATTAAAAGAAACGATACTCATTTATTCTCTTTAATATTCATTTAGCCCACTTTTCTAACCATAAGCTTTAATATTTTTGCCTAACAAGCGATCAAAATCGTCTTTAAAAGGCTGATAGTGAAAATGAATAAAACCACTACTATGTATAGCTTTTTATCGAAGAAAACGCAAAATAAGTAAGCCTTTGCTCCTTTATTTCTATGAAAACTGAAAGATTTCATTATGAAAACTATAAGAAATGATTCTTCTTTGATACGTTCTTTGATTGGCCGATCGATGGGATGAGAAAAGCCCTATCTAACTTCAAATCATTGCTGATTTTTGCGTTTTTGGCTTTTTTATAAATAAACTTTTATCCAATCGGTATTTTGATTTAAACAATTGAAAACTGTTTATTCAAACAATCACAATTTATTATTTTTTCCACACCGAATTCAGAGCGATTCCGATCCGTCAAGAACGATGAGCCAGGCTCCCTTTCCTACTAGAGTGCGTTAAGAAGCTTTTCTTTTCATCTTTGCAATCGTAAATGAATGTGCCTATTTTTAATAGCTTTTGACTCAGAAATTCTAAACAAATTTTTTTTTCAAATTTTCTATATTTTCCCTTGAAATTCTTTGAACTTCACTGCTTTTTTCAGAAAATTCAAAAAATTTCTTTGTTGTCATACACTTTTTCCCAATCCAATGTCTCTTAAACTAGTCAAAAATTAAGCGAAATATTTTTTGAGTGTAATCAACCATTAAATACTGTGCAAAAAATCCAAAAACCTTTTAAAATGTCTTTCATTTTTTGTGTCCTCTTTTTGTTTTTATTTTCTTTTTTTGATTTTTAGATTAATCTCGGGTTTGAAAAATTTATCGTTTTAAAATCGTGAGAGATTCGTTAAACAATTTTAATAAGTTTTTTTGTAAAAACTGATCTTTGGCTTTATTTACAAATATTAGAACGTTTTGAGTCAACTTTTTGCTTTCCATTTGCTTTCTGAGCAGATGATGAAAGAAAGAGGATGGGATTGAACTCCTGATCTTTTTGCCTTCCATTTACTTTCCGTTTGTCGATGCTCTAACCACTGAACTATCCGGTATTCTATCCGGTTCTTACCAAAGAAAACTGATTTATAAACACAGTAAAGTAAGGAATGAAAGAAAGAGGATGGGATTGAACCGTTGATCTTTTTGCTTTCCATTTGCTTCTGAGCAAATGATGAAAGAAAGAGGATGGGATTGGACTCCTGATCTTTTTGCCTTCCATTTACTTTCCGTTTGTCGATGCTCTAACCACTGAGCTATCCGATATTCTTACCAAAAAAGAAAGAGGAAATACGAGGGGAAAGAGAAGGAAAAGAGCTTAGAAACCTCGATAAAACAAACCAAGTTAGACCGTTAGCCATTATAAGTGAATCTTCTACTCACCCAGTATTATCCAAGTCAATCACTTCAACATTCGTCCTCTTCAACAATGGATACATTCCAGCTTCGAAATGAATATGCACAAAAGAAAATAAAAACAATACTTTTTCTATCTTGGCCCATTTTTTTGGCCCAAAATTGCCAAAAATCATCTGGAACTTTTTGAAAATTCGGGGGAAAGTTTGAACAAATAGCCCTCAAAAAAGGGAGCCTGAATTCGTGGATTTCAAGAGTTTCCAACATTTTTTTACCTTTAACTAAGCAGTATTTAACCCATTCGAAACTTCTGCAGCGAATAATCGCTGCAGCAAAAACTCACGAACGGACCGCTGCAGCGATTATTCGCTGTAGCGCTAATTGAGCTATTTTCATTCAATTAATTGGTTTTTTTTTTGCTGTGTTTAAGCATTACATGTATATTCCAATTGTAACAGATCAACAAATTACGTGGGCAAAAAAGACGTGTCATATTTACCCGGAATCAATGCAGCCTCTGGTTTTGCATTGAAATGTTCCATAATAGCTCTAATCTTATAAAGCCGATCTCCTGCAGGATCCAGTTCATTATCACAAAAACGCAGGTTTCGAAGAATAGATTCAAATTTTGCTCTTGACATAATTTGGGACATGTGGGAAAATCCTCCTAATCCAGGCCTGCTACTCCAGTAGTCACGAATCCTCGGTAATTTGACGATTCCCATTTGAAGATACAGAGCCAGGAAGAGCTTGAAAGATTTTGCATCGAAATCCTGCCAGTTTGTTTTCCTTTTTCCATGTTTATTAGATTATTCGCCTACTAACATATTGATTAATTTGTCGTCGATAAAATAAGAATAATAATCGATAGGATTTTGAAAAGGACTGAAGTCAAATCCAAATCGTTCTTCATCAAAAATAAATGGTGTAGGAGACTCTCTTAAGTCTTTTCAACCATCTGGATAAACTGCTTCGGAGTCAAAAATGTCAAAAAAAAGGCTTGGTCCGCAGACGAAAAAAAAGAAAAAACGCTGCGGTTTCGAATGGGTTAAACTCAAATTGAGTGTTGTCTCTCAAATTGCTAAAATTTCAATGGTGCACTTCTGATACGTTGACACGTTTTAGCAAATTTCTCCGGCGTTGAGGTCCATCGACCATCAGTTCGCCTATATGAATGGAGAGGCCAAGGTCCGGTAACAAGACAACTCGACTGGAACTAGATAGAAGTCGCAGTGATTTCAAATAGAAACCGTTTTCAGATTGCACAAACGCAATTTGAGAAATTGTTTGGGCAAGCTGAAACAAATGTCAAAAAGGTGATTGATGAGAAGATTTCAAAACGGGTCACGACGAGGAAAAGATGATGAAAATTTTTATCGAATCGCAATAAACTGGCAAACCATACTCGACACGTTCTTTCGGAAGGCGAGTCCTCCCCATATATCTTTTTTAATATTAGCAGCTGCCAAGCCTGCACTGTGCTTTTGTAGGAACTCATGAAGCATGACATGACGAATATGTCCCGGTGGCAGATTGTCGAGCGCAATAGAAGAAGTGAAGAAAAATACCAAAAAATAAAAAGCTGGAAGCATAATTTTTTCGCAAAAATTAGAGGAAATGTTGAAGTAAACAAACCCCCGTTTCAGCTGGTTCTAGGCTGTTGTTTTCTTTGTCTGCGAGTCTCGCGAAATAGCCCGCAGTTTTCAATTCACCAATCCAATAGATAGAAGTCGCAGTGACTTCAAATGGAAATCGTTTTCAGATTGCACAAACCCAATTTGAGAAATGGTTTGGGCAAGCTGAGACAAATGTTAAAAAGGTGATTGATGAGAAGAGTTCAAAACGGATCACGACGAGGAAAAGATGATGAATGATGATTATCGAATCGCAACAACAACCGATTCCCAATTGAATAAATGCATGTCTTCTGTTTCAAAATATTTTTGCATGTATAGGTAATACCTATTCGTAATCCTAAAGCTGAGCAATTAGAAAGAGCTTATTATTGTAATAAAAAGCAAACACTTGATTGAGAGTAATAGCTGAGAGAAATTATAAAAAGATGAATCTTTATTTTGAGTAAATGTTACTCCATATTGTTTTCAAAGCTTTTCGAGTTTTTCGTTTTTCATTTCGGAGAGAAGGCTTTTAGCTGGCATTTTGCACACAAAGCGAGCATAGCTCCATTCGCCGGGAACTCCATTCCAACCCCCCAAATGGCATGAAGGATCGTTGCTAATCTGAAATACAATATTTCTTGAATATCTTTATAATTTATATATTCAGCCCGATTCGCCCAGAAACCTTCCCAATTCATTCTATTTTCTGATTCTTGTTCCTCTGAACATATGTGCGTTCTCTGTGTGAGCGCACAATTGCATTCTGACACACGGTTTTCCCTTAAGTACTTCTCCCCCGGATAGATCGTGCTGAAAATCTAGGAGCATATTGAACGTTTTCCCATCTTTGGGCCTCACTATGCTCAAATTTTTGCACTAAATCAGGCTTGGAGATTCTTTCGCGTCTAATTGAGTCTTTTGAGTCCCCTTTAAAAATTATCTATAAAATCCCCCTTTTGCTTTTAGTCCCAATTTGTTTTGATGGGTTTAGACGTTGTTGAATCTAGGAAAAACATAACAATGAGGAGTTCACAAAAAATGTGCCTACAGAGAGGGAGAAGATAGAGACTATTGATGGCAAAAAGTTAAGAATTAATCAAAATTGATTAAGGGAATCTCTTTGAAATTTACTTGACTAAAAAAGCAGCTAACATTTGAGTCAAAAATAGCTTACCCTCCAGTTGTAGTCTTCGACAATTGGTGTGCCGACTGTCGTGAAATCGACCGGAGTCCCATCCGACCAAATCCCGTTGCTTTTGGCTCCGGTCCCCCGCAGCCCGATCCACGCGAAGTTCGCCCAACATGCATCGGCCCCGTTCCATCCGGTAAACGCCAAAACCGCTGAGCCGGAACCATCGAAGTTTGTGCCAATCAAGTCTGAAAACACCTTAGCTCAGATAGTTTTTGAGAACATGAAGATTGCGCCGAATGGAATTGCCAGGCCCGTCACTTTGTGCGAGTCTGATATCAAAATGTAGCCCTTCAATTGCGCTATACGATAGTATAAAAAACGGAAAAACTGCTATTTAGTACAAGAAAAATGGCCGCAAAGTGAGAGCATCAACACTACACACTCATACAAAAGACGGTACGTGGTTGTTAGTAATGTACAGTCGGCTTTTTGGACTTTTTTTAAAATTAAAGGGCTACATTTTGATACCAGACTCGCACAAAGTGAAGGCCCGGGTAACACTACACACCCATACAAAAGACGGCAATTCCATTCGGCGCAATCTTTATGGTCCCTAGTTTTCGAGTTTTCGAATACCGTAAACGAAATTGTTTTCCACGGTCGAGTGAATTGACACCAAATGAGCGCCAGACTTTTGACATTCGCTTTCAGCTTGGCTAAAGTCGTACGTGAACCAGTGCTGGGTTTGAGCGTTGTAAACGGTATTCTGAAAGTGTTTGAGGAAAAAAAAAAGTCCACAAAAGATTCGATAACCTACCTGAAGATAATAGCAGGACTTTGTGGTAGCAAAGTAGACCCAATTTTTTGGACAAGGGCCATCTAAACCCCTTGTACAAAACTGTTAAAATTTTAGGGTCACCATTTCCGAGCAACGTGCAAAAGTAGGGACGCGGTACGGTGCAGTCAGCTGTTTTCCAGAGAGCCGTCGCCGGGTCGACCACCACACAAATGTTCGTCTCACTTCGATTTCTGGGTTCACCTGTAGGCAAATTGCTATGTTTTTTTTAAATTTCCCAGTACCAGGCGCCCAATATTGATAGGTGAGCTGTGATCCGTCCGAGTACGTCCAAAAGTTGCCATTCGGCTGCATTTCGACTCCAATGTATGGAGCCTCGTTGTTGAAGTCTGTAATTAATGGATTCGAAAAAAATTTAACGCAAATTTCTTTAATAACTAAAGCACTAGAAGTTTCTATAAGATGAAACCACTCACTTGAGTTGATTAAAGCGTAGAAATAAGCATTCTCGAAGGCATTTTGCACTCTTGCCACCACCGCTCCTCGACTCGCACAGCCTCGGACAGCACCGTGGTAGTATTCACCTAAAAATTGGGAATTTTCGCAATTCATATTTGCTTTAAAAAGTACAATACAGTTTAAGCAATAAAACCTTCGGATTTTAAGCAATAAAACCGTCGTATTTTAAGCAATAAAACCTTCGTATCTTTGATTTTTTTTCATGAAAAAAACTGCAATTTACTTTTCGGGATAGCAAAGGCGCAGACGTTTTCATTCGGCACTTGAAAAGATCCAAAAGGACAATAAAGAGCCTCGATTTGAGAAAAGCTTAGCAGAGATATTAAAGAAAATATCCAAAAGCACATTTCAGATATCGTACAGCAAAAGTTTTGTTTCCAAAAATGAGAACTTTTAGTCAATGGTTATCGGGAAAAACAACTTAAAACAAGCACTTCCTTTCCTCATTTGCTGATAAAATTGCTGTCGTAAAATGTGGGGTCAGATAGCTTTTTCAAATTTGTTTTTTTTGAATACGACAAGTGAATAAACAACAAAACATGTTTATCTAAACTCTAAAAACAACTGAACTCAAATCCTCAAATCCTCAACCTCCCAGCTCAGTGGAACTGTGCACACGGTAAAGCCTAGTTTCCCCAACTTGATTCTGGTTTGACTTAAAAACTTTTAAACTTATGAGCTGGCTAGGGGAATTGGCACCCAGATGATGATCCTGGTGATTGCCATTGTCACTCCATGGAGATTCTTTGCCGACTTTATGGTTGTCGATTTGAAGTTCACGAGGTGAGTTGTGAAAACTCGTTGATAAAAACATTCTTATGAAATTCAGAACTGAACAATTTCCTCTTCGCAATTGTTTCTCCTCGATCTCCTTGATTTCCCTTCTTTTTCTATCGAAGATTATCAAAGTCATCTTGAATCTGATCTGAAAACGAATCATCTGAAAACGTCTGATCGTCTGAAAACGTCGAAACTATCTGAAAACGAAAACCGTATCAAAAATTTATCACTGAAATCCCCAGAAAACATTATTTCTCATAAAGTGACTCGTTCCATTGAAATTTGTACGAAAAATGGGCTCTGTTTCTGTTTCAAATGTCCCGACGATAGTCAGCAAATAAAGGTTTATAAATCTATAAAGTTTTAGCAAATGAAAACAAAAAGGATCATTGAATGAAGGCTCATCCAGCTAAAAACTGAAAAGACCTTCCGGGGTTATTCGGCTGAATTCGGAAAAGCCTGAGTAAACATTTAAGAACAGCTCTTTTGTTTAGGGTCTAATAAAGCCTGAAATAGATAGTCATGTTTTCAAAAATATTTGGAAAGCTATCAATTCTAATTTCTATTTGATTCATTTACTATTTTTCTGTTTTAGAAGATGCATTTGGTAAAAGATCGTTTGTTTTTAATGTTCAATTCATCTTTCAGCTTTATTTACTTTCGTTTTCATCTTTTTCTACTCAATCTTTTCAATTCTCACTCAATGATGAAAGATTTGTCAAAATCGAGAAAAAATCGGTCGCAGACTCGTGGAATCGAAAATTTTTCAACTCTCCGATGTATCAACAAGCAAAAAGCTTAGAAGTTTCTGAGTCAACTCTTTTCATTTTCAAAGCAGTTACTTTAAATCGGTAAAGCTCTCAATTTTTTCAAGTTCCAATCCTGAAAATGTTTAAGAACTAATGAAGGAAAAAATGATCTGCGAATCGCTGGAGTGAACAACAGAGAAAGTGGAAACTTGCAACAAAAACCAGCGAATCTCAAAATTATTGACAACGATCGAGATGTCGCTTTTTCAAGTTATCACTGATATCTTTTGTTGTAAGTTTTGTGTTTTAGTGTCAACTTTTTCTGGGAAATGTAAATTCAAACCGTTTCTGATCGAATCTCGACCCAGTGAGCTCTCGTCAGAGGTAATTTTAATGCAAGCTTTGAAAAACTGAAAGCTCAGATTTCTCTCGAACGTCGAAATGGAAGAGCTTCAAAAAGAGTGCCCATTTCTCTTGACACTGTTCATTTAGGGAAAATTTATCAATTCTTTCAAACTCATCCATTGGAGTGGTAACGGTTTTTGATGGAATATGTATGCTGCGTCCGATCCAGGATTCCGTCCGCTCCAGGATTCTGTCCGCTCCGGGATTCTGTCCGATCCAGGATTAGATGTCCGATCCAGGATTCCGTCCGATTCAGGATTAGATGTTTGATTCAAGATTAATCGCCCTAACCCCAGATCGGACGCAACATTTATATAAGATACTTTATTCAGGACATGAAATAAAGTGCCCAAGATTTAAGAATAATACACATGAACTCACATAAACACAAAAAGGACCGATAAAAAGCAACACGATATAATGTATGTAATATATGAATAGCACAGATAAAGTCAAGAGCCCCTTAGAACTACAAGATCAAGATCATCTACAGATAAATTAAAGGCTTCAAGGCTATTAGACTCTCTCAAAACTCTAGGGAGTCGATTCCAAATTCTGGCAGCTCTTATTGGAAAAGAGTTATACATAAAATGATTAGAGGTGACTGGAACTTGCTAAAATAGCTTTTTTTCTTCTTCCTTTCTCTCCTTGAATTACCCGTGGGCTTAACTTTGAATAATTCTCGAAAGGGATAGGTTGCTTGCCCTTTACTCTTTTAAAACATTCTATTAGATCGGGAATGAAATAAGTACTCAAACTTTTCTAAAATTAGCCAACTCACTAGCTAGAGTAAACCCAAAATTCAGGGTTGACGATTTTGTGATGGTTTCCTTGATCATCGAGCTAATGATCCGACACGATAAAACAGCTGTCGTCCTTCCCGTTGTTTCTGTAACTGAAAATGTGATGAAAGTGTTGAAATTCTATGAGAAACAAGTAAAACTTACATACAATTATCTAAGCCTACAAAAATTTAGACGAAAATCACCCTCTTCCCACTGCCAATGATTCCATTCGGAGAAAAGGTGGGTAAACAGTTTTTTTGGAATTGTTGAAAATGAGCGGCTCGTGGTTTGTCGCATAGTCGAGTTCGGCAAAAAGTTGGGGGCGCTCCTTTTTACTTTTAAAGGTTATTTCTACTATATTTGAGCTTTTCGTAAAAAAGCAAAATGTTTGGCTGGAGGTGGAGTCGAACCTTTGACCGCCTGAACTCGGTACGAGCGCGCTAACCACTCGTCCACGGCACGCCGCGGGGTCTCGTCGGCCTTTCGAAATTCTATATCGGTTAGACAATTTTACAGCTGAATCCGAACAAAGACTTCTCGTGGGATGCATTCACTTATCGTCTAGCTCTTAAGCTTTTTGGCGGTGCTGATGACGAGGATTTCTCCCAATCAACTCAATCTCAAGTCTGGATTGACACGAATGAACGTTTTCCTAGGTTTGAATGAATTTTGAAGCTAAACAATAAGGATTCTGATTCTGAAATGAAAACAAAACACCTGACCTGGCCTCCGAAAAACTTGGATCAAGTAAAAGCCAAGCAAAGCCAAGATTTTTTGGTTTTTTATCTGTAAACCTTTATTTTTACTTTTGCAAACCTGTCAAACCTTTATTTGAAGCTCTATTTTGAAAAATTTATTTCAGCAAACGTCGGACTTGGGTTTTCAACGATGTAGCCAAATCAATTTACGAAGGCAAAGAACTCGGTAACAACAAAAAACTTCCACTTTTTAGAAGACTTTTTCAGAAAAGAACCTCTGGCAAAAATGGGATCTTTCTGGAGAAGAAGTGGGCAATTTTTACCTATTTTTAGTGCAATTTTTACTTACTTCTTCAGATCAACACTGTGAAACGAATCTTTGGCAATGCAAAGTCCACTTTGAGCATAATTTTTGCTGGAAACTTACCAAGTAGAATGAAAGTCAATAAGAGATGGGAATGCCATAAGAGGTGAGTGAAATTTTTGAGAATTACTGTCGTTCTCAAATGATCGAATATCCAATTAAATGAAAAACATTTAGTGAGTGCTCAAACTGGCTCGAGGATTGCTATGAAGTGATGATCACAGAAGACGATTGGATATTCGCTCAATCAAATTCGAATCATTGGACTGTTCTTTGAGAAATTAAATTTTTAGATTAACGAATTTCTGTAAATAATTTGATGGAAAAGCTTTTTAACCTGGAAACTTTTAACTTTTTTTTGATTAATAAACAAAAGCCTCCATTTATGTTCATTTGAGTATTTCAAAGGCGTTTCAGTTGATTTGGTTGGTATAAAGAGAAATTTTCAATATTCTGTAGTCCTCTATATTTTATTTATAAACTTTTAAAAAAATTGTTTCATCCATCATCTAGCCAA